ATTATTTAGTTTACCTATATATATATGTATGAGTAATATATCTAATTACTAATTTAATACGTTACTTAGTATCTTTAATTAAGTTTTCTAAAATAACCTNATTAAAAAAGAGTAAGTCTTGAGGCTGAAATTGTTGCAAATTGGTAAAATATTAAATACTTCATCTCTTATGAGCATTTAGATACCCACACTATTATATGGTTAAGGCAGAGAATGGGTCGGTTTGGGTTTGGTTCCACCGGGATCTGGCTTCGGACCCGATCGAATCCATAATTTTGGCTTGGGATCCAGATCTAAAAAGTATACATAGGATTTGAATCCGGATCCGACCTAATCGGATCCAAAAAATTTATTTTATAATTTAAAATAATTTATAACAAAATAATACTATGCAATATATATGCATATATATAAAGTAATATAAAATATTTTAATAATTGGGTCGGTCCAAAACGGAACCACTTGTATCCAGATCTAATCCGAATTACTATTTGGATCCTAATTTTGGATTCGGATCCGACCCGTTGGATCCATACCCAGGTTGGTATAGGGTCTGAAAATTCAGGTTTTGGATCCAAACCCGGTAAATTCTCAACTCTATATATGGTGACATTATCTGATTTTTTACATGTTGAAACTAAATTTTGAGCCGCTTTCTTTTTTTTTTTTCTTGTGTGATGATAACAGGGCAATAAAGAGGTCAGATTGCTTCCATGAAAACGGCCATAATTCAAGATGTGGAGTGTCTGGAAATTTATATGTGGCACTATTTGGGGTGCTTGAAGTGATATTATCTCAGCTCCCCAGCTTGGAGAAAATTTCGTGGCTCTCAATTTTGGCTGCAATTATGTCTTTTGCTTATTCTTTCATTGGGCTTGGGCTTAGTATTGCCATGGTCATCTGTCATGGAGATATTAGAGGCACCTTATTTGGAGTCAAGGTTGGCATCAATGACATTCCTCTAACAGCCAGGACATGGAATGCATTCCAAGCCCTTGGCAACATTGCTTTCGCTTACACTTATGCATTGGTTCTTATAGAAATTCAGGTACTCCCTTAATTTTCTTTTTGTTGTTTTTTTTGTTCTTGTTTTCCAACAGATTCACAACACACACTCTCTCTCTCTCCTTTTTAAATTCCATGAAAAGCTAGGCGAACACTATTGGGTTTGGGGTCCGGATCCGTATCCTGGTCCGGTAATAATTTTCCTTATGAAATATATCTAAATGGGATTGTATATAATGAAACCATTTACCTTTGATACAAAGAGGTCACAATTACATCCAACGGTATGATGTGAAATTTGATAGCTTGAGTTGTCATGAAGTTTGAGAAAAGTTCTTTTGAAGTTTGAGCTTGGTCAATGAAATAAATACAACCCTCCAATTTCACATCTAATGGCCAATATTCAGTGTGACCACATTGTACCCAGGATAAATGATCTCATTGAATACTTTCCCTATCTAAAAACAGATAAATATATAAATATTTTAATTTTTAAATCAGGTCCAGTTCGGTTCAAGTCCCGCACTATATTTTCAAGTCTAGGTCCTTTATCATTTTTCAGGTCCGGACTCGGACCTGACCCATTGCCACCCCAATGAAACGATAGCACTATTTGTTGGAGGCATTTGTCTTTTAGAATAAACTACTCCAAATTAAAGTGCATATAATACAACCAAATGAGCATATTGTCTATTTATTTCTTTAGAGGACCTATTTTTTGAGGTTTTTGACTTAAAATTTTGAAATCACTTTAGAATTACTTTTTGAGAACAGGAAAAAAAAAAAAAAAAAAGGATTTCGGGATGCAATAGTTAGATGGTCTCTCTTTAGCTTTATAATATTATATTTTAAGGAAAAAATTTGTATGAAGTGTCACGGTTATATTATATAAGTAAAGTACACCTCAAAAGCCTACTGAAAAAAGTTGTTATGATCGTCGAAAGTCCTAAGTTGATATATAAGTTGATATATGGATATGAAAAAAAAAGAAAAAAAAAAATATCGAGTTTAAGAATAATACATCTTGTAAAACAATATCTTGATCGTCCATTTTCAAGATTTACAATTGTTTATAGATCAGTTCAATCTGCACTATTTTAAAAAATTTAAATTTCATAATTAAGGTTGGAAATAGATTTTTGGGCTATTATAGTCATTCCATCATCCGAACTGTATCTTCCAGCTGACTTTCAAAGTGCACCTTACCTGAGGGAATAGTTGGATGTATGCTTCTGCAGGAGTGTATAATCCGCCTTCATATTAGTTCCTAAAATCACTTCAGAAAGATCTTGGTGTCAACATTTTTTTTTTCCTGAAATACTTTCTTTATTTTATTCTGAAAAACTTTTCATGCAAGAAAATTCTATTTCAATTTTAGTGAATAGAAAAGAAATTTTAATTTTCTCGTGTGGATCACATTGCATTTCTAGGACACTCTGAAATCTTCTCCCCCGGAAAATAAGGCGATGAAGAGGGCCTCGTTGTACGGGATCGGTATTACTGCAATATTTTACTTCTCAATTGGTTCTGCTGGTTATGCTGCTTTCGGGAATGATGCTCCCGGCAACATGCTCACCGGGTTCGGTTTTTACGAGCCCTTTTGGCTTATTGACATTGCCAACTTGTTCATTGTCATCCACCTGGTGGGTGCTTACCAAGTAAGTATATGTGTCTCTCTCTCCAATGTAAGGCAAATATGTGTGTGTTTGTGTTTTTTTAATGTCACCGCACCGCACCGCAGACATGATACTTGTGTCTGACATTTGAAAAACATATACTTTTTCCTTTTTCTGAACATTTCTTATTGAATTTGCTCATTCAACTCACCTAAAATCTCAGTTCCCTTCTTTGAATGGTGTACCTGTATGTTGTGTCTAAAAGTCCAAGAGGATGTCATTTTTTTTGACAAGAGTATTTATATTATTAGGTAAGAGGAATACTTACCAAATGATAACACATCACTAAAATAGAGATTGAGAGATAACTAAAGAATCTAAAGCAGCCCCTTTCTTGGACAAATCATCAGCAATGTAGTTAGCCTCTGTAAACATGGTTAAAGCTCACAAAACCACATCGATGATGACAACTGCAAACTTGCAACCATAAATTCCTTAGACGCCATGGATGTCTAGAAGATCTATTGCACCAATTAATAATATTTAAATAGTCACCTTCTATAACAAAAAAATTCTCCAACCTTTTGTCCCTCCAAATAGATAACTCTAAAAGAAGAGCTGTCAATCCAGCATGCTCATACTCGTATATGTGCCCGCATAACATAATCCCAAACAAACAAACACGTGCACATACACGCACATGCAACTTGAACTTCTTTACCATATCCTAGCAGTTTAATTTTTCTTTGCATGTCCTAGACAGCTGCATGTTTATCTTGGTTAATTTTGCTTGCTTTTGTACTTTATTTTCCCCTGAGCATAGCTTGATCTCTCTCTCCTTTTTTTAGTTGTTAATTAAAAGATTAAGGGAAAATATCATAAAAAGGGATGAAAGCCCCTTAAAAAATTATTAAAGAGGTCAAATTATCCTTATTTACATTTGAAGGTATACTTTTTCTTTTTCATTTTAAATAGATAGCCCATCCAAGAAAATAAAAAAATACCCAAGTTGCAATTGTCGAGTATTTGGAATGAGGAACAGTGATGCATATTTAAGTAGGGAAAAAGTTTATATAGAGCCGAGGCTTCTCAAATTGATCATATCGATATCAAGATACATAGATATGAGAAAAAAATGGATTTCAAGTTTTGAAAGTAGTGCATCTTGTAGCATTTTGGACCGTCAATTTTAAAAGTTTCAAGTTTTCATAGATCTGCTCAATCTACACTGTTTTTGAAGTGTTAAAGTTTATAATTAAATATGAAAAAATATTTTAAGGCCATAACAAGGATTTTCAGTAGTGAAACCACATTTATCGACACTATTTCAAGGTGCGCTTTACTTTGATTGTTTAGAGCCTTGGCTTTATACAAACCGTACCCTTTAAGTATTTTAACCCCACAAGAGGCCTCACCCAAATGACAAAAATATCCTATGTTGTTGTACATTATGTCAATATTAGTAATACGAAACAATTAGGGGTATTTTTTGTAATTTGATACATACAAATTATACTAGTGTAGAATGACAAAAGTACCTTTAGTTGTTCTATATTGCTAATACTGAACATTGTGTTTCTTATAAGGGTGGCAACCAGCAGGGCTAGCCTTGGCCCTTGTCCCCACAGGACCAAGTGAAAAACAAATGAAGAAAAATTAAAAAATATGAAAAAAAAATAGGGCTGGGCTGAGCTGAACCAGGCCGTCGCTAGCCTTAGCCTAGCCCTTGTGCCACAGTTCGTAGCCTAGACCCTACTTGTTTTTAGGGCCGGGAGGCTCCCCACCTCCTATTGGCAGCCCTAGTTCCTTATTTGCAATATGGAATAAGTAGGAGTATTTTTGTTATTTGGTTGAGGCCACTTAGGGGTCCAGTTACAGAAATACATATGAATGTTCCACATTGCAAATATCGAACAAGGGCATTTTGATATTTTTAATTTTATTTTTAAGGAGTTATCTAATTGATATGAAAAAGGAAAAAGTAATCCCTCAAATGTTAATAGAAATAATTTGACTATTTTAAGAAAGGTTATATCTTTTTAATAATATTTTCCCAAAATTTAATGATTTGATTGATCAATGATACTAAAAAATATGATTTAAGTTTGTAAACACATGCTTTTCTATCCCTTTCCTGTTTCCGATAAATAAACATAGGGCATCAAATAAGTGATTTGACCTTAGCCCTCTCCCCTCTTGGCAGGTATTTTCACAACCAGTTTTTGCAGCATGGGAGATGTATCTCTCCTCCAAATGGTCACAAAATAGCATTGTGCACTCCACCTACAATGTGAAATTACCTTTGGTGCCTTCAACCTCCTTCAATTTTACCCTCTCAAAGCTCATCTCTCGCACTCTTCTTGTGATCATAGTGACATTGGTTGCCATGACTTTCCCATTCTTTAATGCAGTAAATGGTCTCATAGGTGCCATTGCTTTTTGGCCATTGCAAGTTTATTTCCCCACAACCATGTACATCTCTCAAATGAAAGTGAAGAAGGGGACCCAAAAATGGATATTCTTAAAGACTCTTAGTGTATGTTGCTTTTTTGTTAGCCTCATAGCAGTTGTTGGCTCAGTGGCTGGTATAGTTGATAGTCTTAAGCATGCCACACCTTTCCAAACCATGTATTAGGGCAAAGTAGTCATGTGGGTAGTATGGAAAATAGAGAAATTTCAAAGGCTAGGTTTTTTTTTTTTTTGGAGATTTTGGTGGTGGTCTTTTAATCACATGGTTCACCACATGTTTATTGTATGTGAGGGGTTTGCATTATAGGTACAAAATTTCAAGACCTTTCACTAAGATTTGGAGTAGTGTGTGGTGAATTTCACAAATTTCTCAATGGTAGAGGATTATATGTTGTTTATACTATTATGGAAGATTGTCCCTTGTAGACAATATACCAAAGAGTTAATTAACGTTCTTTGAGCTATTTGAGATTATGTTCACCACTTTTCTTTAACATTTTGCTTGTACTCATTTGCTAATAAGAGGCCTTAGCAATCTCCTCTTCTAAACAGGCTCATGTCCAAGGGGGTTCTAGGCCTTGCATTAGCTATTGAAAAAAATAAAATTTTAATGTCATGTGGTCCAATGGAACACGCATCAGGTATTAAACTGGTAAGAACGTATATACTACATTTGATCTTAGCCGAAACCCCGTGAAAAGGTATCTTATATTATTTTATTTTTTCAGTGGGAAAGATAAGCTCCTATCTATTTTTTCAAATATTTTATAAGTTGATTTTTTAAAAAATATTAATAAGGTGACGTCTATTGAAATAAAAACACAATGTGGTAACTAAGTTATGGGGGTTACTACGAAAACCCCAGCCCCTTTCCCATTAAAGATAGCGACATGGTTTAGCATTCATTACTCGTTGCCTACATTTAAAGAAATTGTAGCATCACAAAAGAACTTTGTAATCGCTTTGTTGTACATTCCCTTGGCCTCAGCGATAAGTAAAGGGCCAATGGGAGGCTGTGTGCGCTAAGTGGGTCGAGTGAGCCAAGAAGTTTATCTAATCCTTGCACCCCTCTCCACCACGCTCAGAGACCAGAACAAACCTTTTGCACAGCCCCCTCGATCAAGGGGCAGGGGCACCATTGGCCCTACTCCCTACAAGCTATAGGCCACCGTAGCCCGCCTAACAGGGCCAAAGAAGCCCTAGCCCAAGCCCGGCTCTCTTGGGCTGGGCTGGGCTAAATACAATAAAAAGAAAACCCCCCCTTAAAAAAAGGATAAAAAGGGCCGGCCCTGTCACGACCTAGCCCAAGACCGGCCTAGTCCTTTCCTCAGGCCAAGAGTGGCCTAGCCTTAGCTCAGTCCTCAGGCCATATTTTATGGCCTAAGCGCTTAGGGCGTGCCAACCAGCCTATTGCCAACGCTAATAATCACAATACGGCCCATCTCGCTCTTGATGTCCTCCCTCGCAAGGCTCGTGCTCTCTCTCCCTTTTCCCTTTTTACCAACTCATGCAAAATGCGCAAAAAATACTTCCGTCTTTTACTATGAATTGAAGGAAATGAGCATCAGTTCAAAGGTGTGGTTTGTATATGGTGGAGGCTTTAAACAATTAAAGTAAGGCGTATTGCTAAATAGTGTTGAAAGATAATTTTTTATTAGTAAAAATCTTTGTGATTGCTTTAAAATTTATTTTCATCTCTACTTATAAAATTTAGAGCTTAAAAAATAGTGTAGATATACACACTTGAAAATATTCAAAATTGACAGCCCAAATAATACATTACAAGATGCGTTATTTTCCAAGCTTGAAATCTACTTTTTATCACATCTACACATCTCGAGGTCAAGATGATCGATTTGAGGATTTCTGTAAATTGAAACTACCTCTTCTATTGAAAGTTTGAGGTGCGCCTTAATTTGATTATTTAGAACTAGAACTCAATAACAGGGTAAATCCAGTGGATTTAGATGCTCTCCCTCCCACCCTCCCTTTTGTTTTCCCCTCCACATTGCAGAGGTAAGTAAGACTGCTAGCTTTTATGTAGATTTTGAGGTACAATGGAGAGCCGATCCAACAAACCCTAGCTGGTTTTAAGCAATGTATGTAAATAAAGACGGTGTGAAGCATGTATGAGATAGCTTAAACGGTTGATTCAGTGAATATAGACATCCCTCTGCAAGCATCGGTATCTCCACTTTTACTAGTCTATAATTGGGCACTTTCAATCACTGTGCCAAGGTGGAATACAATTTGCAACTATACTAAAGAAGTTTTATGAGTCCATGCGGAAATAAATCGGCTCTTCAAAATTTATTTTTGGGATGGATTTTCGGACCCAATTTTTAAGGGCATGCAATCTTTGACATGAAGATCATGAATATAAATAATAAATTTTCAGAAATAAAAATAACTATTTTATAAAAAAAACATTTCAATTGTTAGTTTCAATTGTTTTTACATTGACCACCTACTTGCATCCATCTTTAAGATGGGTGCGTTATACCTTGGGACTGCATGTTCAATTGTTTTACATTGACCACCTACTTGCATCCATCTTTAAGATGGGTGCGTGGGACTGCATGTTCAATTGTTTTACATTGACCACCTACTTGCATCCCTTTAAGATGGGTGCGTTATACCTTGGGACTGCATGTTGTAAAAATGTCCAGCCCACTTGAAACAATTTTATTTTATGGGTGTGGTGTGCATAAGGCTGCAACTTTAAACAATCATAGTAAGACACCTCCAAATTTTTTTAAAAGAGATATAACTTTGGCGTAAAAAATTCTTAGGATGACCTAAAAATATATTTCCATCTTCAATTATAAAATTTTAAACTCTAAAATGCCTCAAATCAAGTAGATCTATTGAAAATCTTGAAAATGGATGGTCCAGATAATGTGTCACAAGATGTACTATTTCTAGGACTTAATTGTTTTTTTTTATTTATTTCCATGTATCTCGTTGTCGAGATGATCAATTAGAGAGTTTTCAAAACAGCAAAACCGCCATTTCCGATGGATTTTTCAAAAGTTCTTTTGAGGTGCACCTAAAATCTACTGTTTAATATTGCAACCTTATATAAACTTTTTCCTTATTTCATTGCAATAATTTTACCTTCCGTTATTAACCTTTAATCCATTTTAATCGTCTTAAATACTTTTTGTTCTTTATTCTTAACGCAATTTGCGGGTATTTTGTTTTGTCAATCAAGGGTAGCCAAAACCCTATGTATTCCTTTAAGAAGAGATCTGAAATGTTCAATTGCTTGTATTTTTCAAAAGTTTGCAATCATACATTTTTTTGAGGGTCGTTTGGATACCTGAAAATATATTGTATATGAAATGTATTCCTGACGTAATACATTACTTGCAATGGATTGTTTTGTTTGGGTAGTATTTGGATGCAACTTGGGAAATATATTGTTACTGTTTGACTATGCTGGACGAAAATATGGGAAATGCATTACCATCCGGATATGAAAAATATAGCTATGTTTGGATAACATGATTAGACTTTGGTTTCAACATGATAAGTCATTAGAATAACATGATTTTATTGTGATAAGCCTTATTTTTATTTATTTTTTTTAAAAGTTCTTTCAAATGTCTCTCTCTGTATAATTTCAAACAAGCAATAAATTTATGATATCAAAATCAAAATATTTATAGTACAAGTTAAAAATGGAAAGAAGTTCGATTAGTAAACTAGAATGTTTGGTAGTTGCAATAGAAAATTTTAGGTGACTAGAGAGGTATATAATTTCAATTTAGCTTTTACTAATCTCTTATGAAGATTATGTTATGTGAAATTTTTTATTATGATTGTATTGTGTAATTTCTCATCGATTACCAATTATTATTTTTATTTTTATGCCTTGATGGGCTACAACCCAAATTAGGGATAGATGGATATAAATTTTTTTTTTATTACGATTATTATAATTAGGGATAGATGGATATAGAAATTTTTTTATTATAATTATTATTTTTGTTTTTATAAGCTGCTGATCGCTTTAAATGAGGCCTACAACCCAAATTGGGAATAGAGGAATGTATAAAATTTTTCATTATCTGTTCAAATCAACTTAGATTTTCCCCTACTTTCACTTACCAATTATTAAATATTTTTGTTTTTATAAGTGGGTATGATTGCAATAAAAAATTGTCCCTATTCAAATCAACTTAGATTTTCCCCTACTTTCACTTACCAATTATTAAATATTTTTCTTTTTATATGTGGGTCAGATGAGGGCTACAACCAAATTGGGGATATAGGGATATAAATTTTTTTATTATGATTGCAGTAGAAAATTGTCCTCATACACCTATTCAAATCAATTTAGATTCCCCTTTTCATATCCCCTACTTTCACTTTCTACTTACCTTAATAATTATACAATAACATCAGAGAGGGAAATGTTTTTTAAGAGAAGATAGCGCAGAGAAGCATAGAAAAGATTTCCAAAGGTTACCTCTCAAACACGTAATAGATTTATCACCTTTTATGGACGTAATGGATTTTGTGATTTTTTTGGGAAATCTCGGGTTATGTATTTTCATTTCCTTATTATTAAAGTGTACCAAACAGTATAAATATCATATTTTCGTGTAATCTATTGTAACGTAACAAATTTCCAGGTACCCAAACGGCCCCTTAGGGATGTGCTTTATCTATTACTGCATGGTTCCAATCTAGCATCCAAACCGCCCAAACAATAGTGAAAATAAGTGATTTTTAAACCCATACTGGTGGGTGAATCATTCGCCCACATATTCGTATCAAATTGCTGGATTGACGATCTGGATCGGTCTAGATAGGTGTTCCAAAAAAATATTAAAAAAGAAATAAAATAAATTAAAAATGGAAATAGGAGTTTATGGGTTGGGCATTGAACAGGATGTAAGAAAACTTTAGACATATTAAAGAAAAAGAGAAAAAAAATATAAAAGGTAGGGTTTTAGAGTGGAATTGGGTTGGGACTCGTACCATCCCAAAACCGGTTTGTTCCCGGCCAATTCCCCACCTGGATAAAAAATTGTTGGGTTTTAAAACAGTGGTAAAAACTTTCAAACACGACGAATACCAATGCCATGGAATATGCTACCTTAGTTTGTAGATCAGTTAATGAAAAATTTGGTCTATAATTATTGGACTATGGAGTAACCATAATCCATTGAGCCAACAATGTCTATTCAAATGATGAATGGTGATGACAAGAGTGGGACCCACCATTTTGGTTCAGTCGGATCTTAGTTTATCCTACACTGTCTAAATGAGCACCATCATTTTCATGGACTGTGATGACTTAATTATTTTTTATTTTCCCTTGTTAAGTGGACTAAAGGA